CTGGGGGGGGGTTGTGCAGCATCCTCAGACTCACCCTCCCCTCACAGCCGGAACACAGCCCTGGCTCTTTCTAGAGGTCGGCAGAGGGGCTGATGGAGGGGCTCAGCCACGCTTGGGCTCTTCCCAATCGCTTTTCCCCTTGGGAATAACAAGGATGGTGGGGAATGGGACATGCGGCAGTGGCCCGCAATGCTCCGGGGCTGTTTAGCACCCCCCGGCTATACCCGTAGCTTTAAAGCATCATTGGGCAGCACAAATTCCAACGATTTTCCAATCCTGGAGTGAGCACACCCTCGCACATGGCCAGGGCAATGCATGAGTGTATCTCCCACCCCTCCTCCCTCATTAACACAATTAGCTTTGATGCCTCCAGCGAGGGTTTTCGGAGCCCTTCCAGAGGCAGGAGCGAGGACGGAGGTGGCAGTGCTCTGCCACAGCCCAAGGTTTAGCCGGAATAAACGAGAGGAGGGTGGGTGCCGTGTGGAAAACTGGATATTCACCCATTTGCGCCTTTTCTCTGCCATTGCCGTGGCTGGAGGGGAGACACAGCTCACAGCAGGGGAGGAGAAACTTAACGTGGGGACGTTGCTCCTGCCCTGGTGACGGAAAGCAGGTCAGGCTGGCAGAGGGAGCGCTCCCGTCTCCGTTGGGATGAACGAACGCTCCTCAAATGTTCCTGTCTGAGCGGTGTTCGGCAGCGCCCGTTTCTCCCCCCACTTGTCACCGGCCCGTCAGCCGGTCGCCGTGAACCCGGGGAGGGGTTAATGGCTGGAGGGTGATGGGGAGGGGGTGTCCCTGCGCCTCCCGGCCGAGCACGGCACCTTGGGTGTTCTTTGTGCCATGGCTGAAGATGTCCCGCTGCTTCCGTGACGTGCTGGAAAATAGCCTGGATGCTCATTTAAAGAAGGAAGAGCCGTCAATGTCAAGACTTGCCGGGGCGCTGTCGTTATCGCTTGCCTGCGTCCAGATCCGCGTCGGGAGGTTACTGACCAAAAAAGGGCTGGATTTGTCCTCCTAAAAGCACTTGAAGGAGAGCGTGAGAGGAAATTGCTCAGGTCTTCAATCAAAGGCCGCTCCCCACCTCCCCAAGAGACGACCGGCTCCGTGTGGGAAATAAATGTGCTGGTGGCATCTGCCCTTTCTGTGTGGGAGCTTAAGGGGAACTGCTGTGAACTCTCCATGGAAAAGCCTGGATACACGGACTGCCCACCTTCTGGGGGTGCGGAAGGGGGTCTCTGCTCCCCACGGAGGTGCCAGTGTCCCGCGCGCTTGATGGGGGAGCGGTCAGGGAGGACTCACACCCAGTCCCTCCCCAAGCGGTGAGGGGGGCACTGAGGGAAATCCATCCCTTCTCCCTCCCTCCGGCAGCAAGAGGGGATACAGGGGTTGGAATGCGCTGCCAGAGGGTCCCACCGGGTGAAGGAGGAGGAGAAACAGGGTGGATGAAGGGTCTGAGTGACAGGGAGGCGAGCAGGGGTTGGATGGGATGAGTCCCTGCCGCTCCATCCCGTCCAACGCTCCGCGTTGGCTCCCCGTCCCACGGAGGGAACCTCAAGAGCCTTCAACCCCAGCGAGGCGTCTCCCAGCCCGAGTGGCACGAGGAACTGTTGGGCAGGACCCGCCAGACTGAGCCGGCAGGTTCGGGTTCCCTTGAGAGCCCCAGGGATCTTCAGCACCGAGAGGAGCGCGGCGGCTGCGGGGACGGGGAGCTGCCCGGCAGC